CTCAGCACGGAGCCTGAGACAGGGCTTGAGCTCACGATCCTGAGATCATGACCTGAGCCAAAATCAAGAGTCCGACGCTTAACTGACTGAGCCACCCAAGTGCCCAATGGCTTTTATTTAAATGCAACCTGGTGATGGTCCACCTTTAATGTTCTCTACCACATCCCACCAAGTCATCCAGGCCATATGTCCAGTGACCAGGACCTCACTACCTCACACCAGCTCTCATCGTTGCGAAGTTCTGTGTGTTGAGCTCGAATCTCCTCCTTCCAACCTGTGCGCTGGGGAGCAGTGTGATTCCCATATTGGAAGAGAATCTCCATTTCTCTGCTGAGTCTTCCCGGTTCCTCTAGCCGTCCCTTACATGACCTAATTTCGCCTAGTCAATGACTGTCTTAAAGGGTTGCTCCTAGAACTGGACACAGTTCTCTGGGCTTAGCCACCCGTTGCAGACCGGAGTGGCATTTCAGTGTTTCCTGTGATGCAACCTTAGTTGGGGCTACTATAACAAAGTAGAGACTGGGTGGCTTATAAACCACATACCTCTGTCTCTCATAGTTCTGGACGCCAGAAGTCTGAGATCAGGGTGCCAGCATGGTTGGGTTCTGGTGGGAGCAACTTCCATAGAAATGGTAGACGGTCAATGTGTTGTCATGGCCTCACGTGGTGGAAAGACACGCAGCTAGCTCTCTGGCCTCTTCTTATAAAGACTAATTCTGTTCACGACGGCGCCACCCTCATGACCTCCCCAAAGTCCCACCTTCAGATACCATCACATTGGGATTAAGTTTTTCACATATGAATTTGAGCGGGGGGAGGGGGACACAAACATTCAGACCATAACACAACCAAAGATCAACATATTCAGTTAATGGTTTGTTTTGATACCCCGTTCCTTCTCCTCACGTAAATGAGGTGCTCCAGGAACACAGACACCAGATCCCGCCCTGCTTCATTCTCTCCCTGGCTGTACACAGACAAGACTTTCCATCTGCTGGAACAGCCATCATGCACTCACTCATTCGTTCATTCATTCATTTATTCAGTGTATCTCCGGTAAGCCGGGAACTGTGCTAGGTGCTGGAGATACAAAGATAGAGAAAACACATTCTCTGTCTTCTGTGAACCCTAATGGGACAAGTAGCTGTACAAATGATTTATGACACCCTGTGGTCTCTGCTGCAGGCAAGTATAAGCAGGGTGATTGGCACATCGATAGCATGCAGTAGATTTTCAGAAAATGATCAGATCAACCCTCCACACTGAGGGGGCAGTGGGGAATCTTCCTCTGTGGATTGGGGGGAGGCTTCCTGGAGGAGGTGTGACCTGGGCTGGGTGGGAACTCACTGGAAGGTATTCTTGCCCCCACAGGGAAGGGGTGTGCCAATGACAGGGCATCAGGAATGTTTGAAAGCCCTTAACCTTCTGTGTTTTGTCCTTTTGCTGAACAAGACTATAGACTGACTTGCTAAATCACGAGCCAATCCTAACTAAATTTACTGACCTGAAACTCAAAGGATCCTTCCCCGAAGCTGAGGGAATCGACCTAAAACTGGGAAACACGGGGAGCCAGATTTTTCTCTGAGCTGAAGTTGAGCGACTTAGTCTGAAGATTCCCTCTGAGGGTCTGGTGTTGCCTGCCTCTGTGATGTAGTGAGTTTTGGGTCACTTTCCACGGGTTCCTCCCCGACCCTGATTGCCACCCCTCTGACCCTGGGACCTGTCAGCTTTCGGGGGCCATGACGTCTGAGTCGGTGTCGGATGAAGCCATCACCCGGACCATGGGTCGCTGTTGGGAAGAAAACCACTATCTGCTGTGCCCTCACTCGGCCGTGGCCGTGAGTTACCATTACCAGCAGACGAACAGGCAGCAGCCCAGGTACGGGCCGTGGGCACCTGGGTCACCGGGGTACTCTGGCTTTCGGGGGCCCTCCTCCTCCCCAAGCAGGGGAGACAGGAATCTGCACCAGTGGCTTTCCTGAGCATGACGGGTGCTGTGTGGAGTTGTGCCCTGAGAACTGTGGTCCTGGAGGAGGGTGTGTGATAGCTGTCTGGGGGCGGCCACTGAGACGTGGTGGTTGAGCTGGGTCCCCCACAAAGAGGAGCGGTTTCCCTGGCAGCGTCATTGTCGAGATAAGTTCAAGGTACCCAACATCTGCCTCTTTCTCTCTCTCCCTTTCTTCTCCGTGCACCACCCTATCCCTTCCTCCCCTGTTCCTTCTCCTCCTCCCTCCTCGCTTTCTCCTTTCCACATCTGTCCGTCTGGTCTCTCGGCCGCCCTCCTGTTCCCACCTGCCCCACCCCACAGCCTTCCCCGGTGCTGTCTGGCCCCCGCCTCTGCAGCCAAGTTCCCAGAAGCTGTCCTGGCTGCAGGGCTGACCCCAGAGACCCCTGAGGACATCCTAGCCCTGGAGTTCAAGGAGACGCGCTGCACTCCGATGCGGAAGGGTGACGACTGGACGCTGATGCTTCGGAACACCATTGAGGGCCTGAGCTGGCAGCAGAGGGCTCAGTCCTGAATGCTCCGGAATAGCCAGGCTGGATTTGACTTGAGTCAAGTTGCCCTGTTGCTCTTGTATCAGGGTCCCCTGTTCTATGAACCCAGGGCAGGTATCACAGCACCACTAAATAAAGTCCAAATGCCTGCATTTCCGTAGGTACCTCCGTAACCACGCTGCCCCGGAGAAGTCACACTGTCTTTTCCTCTGAAAATATAACTCACCCTCTCCCCTCTCCGTGCCTTCCACCCTGCCTTTGCCTCTGGGAGACTGTCCTTCTTTGATGAGTCTTGGTCGCTGCAAATTGTTTACTGCCAAGTTGTCCCTCATGAGCCCAGATGGAAATAAGGGCTCCTGATCCTGGCAGAACATCAATGGTAGCTTTCCTAAGGCGTGTGTTCCCTTCTACCCTGTTTTATTCGCTCCACATTAGACATTACCTCCCCGTCTCAAAGCTTCTCGAAGACAAGAACCACTGTTTAACACAACGGGCTGAAACCTTTTGGGTTTGCCCCTATTGATCAAAACATTTTTAAAATTTGTTCTCCCGACATGTGTATACTAAATTACATATAAACTACACAAACCATATGCTAAAATATGAATGAAGGGCTAATGATAAAAGCCTACATTGACCTTTCCTCCCCATACTCCAGTGCCTTGTCTTGTGGACCCATCTTTGGCAGTCCTAACTGAGCTTAGTGTCTGGTGCATTCCGTAACCAGCAGGAACCAGCATGCCTGTGATTCCCCATCTGCCCGATGACTGTGTGATGGTTCTCAAAGTGTGGCCCTTGGGTCTCCTCAAAATGCACACTTCTGGCCACCTTCACAGGTGAATCTCTGGGTATGGGATGGACATCATCTGCAGTTCTTACAAATTCCCTGAGTAAGTCTTCCGTGTGCTCTAATTTGGGAAACCCTGGCTGGGGAGTTTAAGGTGATAAGTAATTTCTTGTTTATCAATTATGAGGTGCACTTTATTTTCACGAGGGCATGCTTTATGGCTCCTACTGTTTCCATAATCTAGCCTTGCGCTGTCGAATTCAGTAGTTACTAACCACGTGTGACTCTGAGCACTTGAAATGTGAATAGTACAACTAAAGAACTGAATTTTTAATTTTTAAAAACTTTAATTAATTTACATTTAAATTTTAAAACATTGGGAGCAACTTCCATAGAAATGGTAGACGGTCAATGTGTTGTCATGGCCTCACGTGGTGGAAAGACACGCAGCTAGCTCTCTGGCCTCTTCTTATAAAGACTAATTCTGTTCACGACGGCGCCACCCTCATGACCTCCCCAAAGTCCCACCTTCAGATACCATCACATTGGGATTAAGTTTTTCACATATGAAT